GGGGGCGCCCGCCAGCTCAACAGGGGGCGGGGCAGCGGCCATGTTGGAGGGCAGGAAGGGCCTAGTGGGGGGTAAGCGCGCGGCCGCAGGCCCGGACCCCGACACCCCATAATACTCACGCCTTGTCCACCAGCTCCCGGACTTTCCACATATTGAGCATGGCGGCGGTGGCGCAGAGCGCTCCCCGGCCTAAGTCCCCTCCTTCTCCTCCGCCGCCCGGAGCCCCGCTCGCCGCTCCCCGGGCCCCCGCCGCCGAGGCACCGCCAGGCCAGACCCGCCTCGGCTCGCCGCCTCCTCACCCCACAGCTCAACGGCACCTACGGACGCGGCGCGGCCCAGCCTCCGGAAGCCGACGCCACATGCCCGCAAGGCCTGCTGGGACGTGTAGTCCACTCCCAGGCGGGGAGCGGAGACCGCCGCTCTCGGCCTTAGCCCTCGCAAGGCATGCTGGGGGAGGTATTCCTCTGTGCCCCGCGAAGCTTGCTGGGAGTTGTAGTCCTCGTGAGGTAATCGGAAGAACGTCGGGAGTTCCTCGCAAGGCATTCTGGGAAGGGTCGCCTGTCTTCTTGGGAGATGTCGTTTCCCTCAGAGGGCAGGCGCTGGGGTGTCTGCCATGGCTGCAGCGTCGGGGCCCCCTCAGAGCACACCGCTCTCCTCGGAGCCCTCAGACCGGGGTGTCCCGTCTCCCGCCCCACGGGGCGAGACAGGCGCCCGCTCCGCTTGGAGGAGGCTTGGCACAGTTCGGTTTTTAATAGGTTTTTGGAAATAATGTTCACAGGTAATATCGAGGTGTTTGTCAACGGTTTTCAAAATTATTTTATCTGTTTATTTTTTCCACAGTTGTGGCAAATTAACAGGGGGGGGGGAATCTGACAATAATCATTCAATGAAAACTTCACAAAGCCCCAAAACTGGTATGAGCCAAATCAGCTGGGAGGAAGACTTTAATCAGAAAATAAAATGTGATTGATACTTAGATGCTCAGAAAAACACCATCAAAGAAGAAGATCGTGCAGGTTTAAAAAAAACCACCACCAACAGCCTGGTGTAGAGGGGAAAGGAAAGCAGCTATGCAAATTATATCTACATTTTTCAGTTGGAAGGGTGGGTAAAGATGACAAGAGTCAAGCCCCGTTGTCCTAGGTGCTCAACACACATAAATTAACATTGCCCCTGCCCCAAAAGTGCTTGCAATCTAAGTCAAGTTGCAACAAGTGATTGTAAATCTGGGGTAGAGATGATAAAATCATGAGGTTCCATAGGTTGATTATGTGCACTACTTGCTGGCTCATTTAACGGCACAACAGGTTTTTAGGGCAGGAAGGAAAACAAAATACTTATTTTACTGAATATCCACCAACATTTGAAATTGAATAAATGGGGACAAAATAAAATGGAGACACAGCTTTGAAGAACAAGGAAATACACTGAAGCAGGAGGGTATTTTTGGAGGAATGACACGGGAAAATAAATATTTTGCTTCAATATTCTGGTCGGAGTGTTTGCAGTAGGGACAATTGGCTAGTGTGCCGTTGTTCTAATGAATTACCAGAGCAGTCAAACTTAAAATGTTTATAACAGTCTGAAAGTTTTTTGAAATGCTGAGCACCTGCACCATTCATTAACGTCATTTGGCATGGTGGGTGCTCAGGATCTTTGAAAATCAAGTTGTAGTTGTATTCAAATAGGAACTGAAAAATACAGAGGAACTCCAAATTAGTAGGCCCTTTTGAAAATGTTGGGTTACGGTCAGACCACAAACCACTGTTATACATCAGATGAGCAACCAGGTAGTCTGCCGCCCCGTCTCATGCTCTAGTTACAACATGGCCTTTTCCTTTCATCCTACTTATGTGTATTTAATAGATTCTCCTGAAACACCTGCATGGATTAATTTCTTTTTTTAGAGCAGAGGTGGGCAAACTGGCCCGTGGGCCCGTCCTGCCCGGCCTTTGAGCTCCCGGCCGGGGAGGCTAGCCCCCGGCCCCTCCCCTACTGTCCACCCACAGCCTTAGCTCACCCTGCTGCCAGCACTCTGGGCAACGGGGCTGCGAGTGCCTCCGGGCAGCACGGTGGTGTGGCTGGCTCCGGCCGGGCCGCACAACTGCCAGACGTGCTGCTCTGAGCGGCATGGTAAGGGGGAGGGGAGAGGGAGGGGGTTGGATAAGGGGCAGGGGGCCCAGGGGCAGTCGGGGGACAGGGAGCAGGGGGCGGTTGGATGGGGCGGAGGTTTTGCGGGGCGGTCAGGGGACGGGAGGTGTTGGATAGGCGTGGGAGTCCCAGTGGGCCTGTCAAAGTGTGGGTGTGTAGATCGGGGTCGGGGCAGTCATGGGACAGGGAGCGGGGGGTAGGATAGGGGGTGGGGTCCTGGGGGGGGCGGTTGGGGCGGGGGTCCCAGGAGGGGGCAGTCAGGGGACAAGAAGCAGGGGGGGTGGATGGGTGAGGGGTTCTGAGGGGGGAAGTCAGGAGGTGGGGAGGGGGTGGATAGGGGGCCGGGGACAGGCTGTTTAGGGAGGCAAAGCCTTCCCTACCCAGCCCTCCATACAGTTTTGGAACCCCGATGTGGCCCTCAGGCCAAAAAGTTTGCCCACCCCTGTTTTAGAGCCATGCAAGAAACGACAAGGAGACAGGTCTACGCACAAAACAATTATATAAAAATAACTTCTGATTAAAATATGTTTTTAGCCTCCAGGCTTATGCATTATATATATATTATGGTCCAATAAGCGGTATCACATTACCTCTTTTGGCCATTTTTTCCCTACAGAATCCATGTGGAACTAGGTAGAAACATTTTCTTTAATAATGATAATTATCTTACTTAGATTAAAAGAAAATGGGAATTCAGGGTTAAGAATAAAATTCTGTATTCATGATTTCTTTTTTGTTTATGATTTATACATCACCATGAATATGCCTTCCACTTTACAGATTATTTAATAGCGTCCCTGCCCTCAAGGCATTACTTAGGTATTGAGACATATATGCAAAATAGTCCACTGAATACTTGACCAACATTCGGAAATAGGGACCACTACACAGTTAAGACTAGATTGTGGCACCTATATTGGAGACAAGTGCTTCATCATCCTAGAGACACCTATATTGGAGTGCAGTGCTTCATCATCCTAGAGGCAACATCAGGAAGCATGAGAAAGGCAGGCTACTTCCTATAGTTCTCTAATTGCACCAGGGTGGGGAAAGCCATCTGTCACGCACCTTTAAAGGATGCACCAAACATCTCCTCCCGTGTGGACCTGGCTGGCATGTAGATGGGCTGGAGCCACGGTTTCTGTCTACTTGCTATGGCTTTTCTAGTCAGTTGTTCCCATTGGTAACAACTAAACATCAGCCCCTCAACTGTCCTGAGCCCAGGGGCTGCTTGTCTGGCTGGCCTTTATTCTCTCCCCTGACAAAAAGAACAGGTGGCTGGGTAGGGGAATCATAATATAATTTCCAAAGGACTTGTGAATGTTTAAACGGCTGCATTAAAAGGTCAATGACATGTCATGGCACATTTTTAGAAAGATTCCATTTAGATACAAATCTCCTCATACAGCAGGTTTTCTATAATTCTCTTCTCTCTTCATTATTAAGCATAATGTATTCCTGAGACACATGAGCAACTTCTCCTCCCAGGTGATTGAGATCATCTGGGTTAACCTAGCTTCTCTGCTCCTAGGTTCCATCTTTATCTGGGTGTGTAAGGTGAGAACAAAGGATGTGCAAAGCAGACGGAGGCGGTCATAGCAGTGGGCAGGGTAGAGGATTTCCCTGGCTGCATTTTATATTAGATGAATGAGGCAAGAAGCACGGAGATTGAAAAGGAGGAGGTTGCAGTAATCAAGGTGAGAAGTGATCAGAGCTTGCACCAGGAGCTTAGCACTGAGAATGGGCAGATGCTGGAGCTGTAGAGGAATAATTGGCAAGATTCAGCAATAGCAGCAATGTGAGGAGGAGGAAAGAGAAGATTTAAATGGTACATAGGTTGTGGATCTATGGAACAGGAAGGGGAGAGGAATCACTGACAGTAATGGGGAAGCAGTAAAGGAGAAGGGTTTGGGAGCTAAAATGGGGCATTGAGTTGTTGCCACATTGAGTTTGTAGCAGGACATCCAGATTGACATTTCAGAAAGGGGTCTGAAGAGCAAGACCGAAAGGAAAGGGAATGGCAGGGTGAAGCACATGCACATTTGGAGCTAGTACAAGTTCATCTGCGTATGGTACATGCAGAAGCCTGGTCTCCACTACTCACAAAACAGCAAATCAATTAAAGGAAACTAAAGAAGGAGGAATCATACATTAAGGCTGCCCCAAGAGAATATTAACTTGCTTAAATTACTTGTCAAGAAAGTGTTGCAAGATTTATCTTCAGATTTTATTTGTCTGTGCAAGGGTATTGAGCAGTTATCATAACAACTCCCTTGTGATATAATGACAACTATGGGGCCAGGGTAGTGATTCCATAGATAAGATTGTCAGGAAGTTCCCATTCTAAACTCAGTTTTTCTATCTATCTATCTATCTATCTATCTATCTAATCATATGAAATTTTGGCCTGCTTCGTCTTATGCCAGAGGAGATTTTTTCTTTAGAAAGCTTGAGGTCAATTGGACGTTCTTTTTTCAAGCTATGGTACTGTATTTCATTCAAGAAAATTGCAGAAAATGGAAATGAACATTTGCCTTAGCTTTCCCCCACATACATCTCTGTACGTCAGCCTTTTATTTTAATTGTCCCCACAAAGCAAACCAGATAGCACATGAAAAATCTGTTGCAACCTAAAGCTCAAGTAATGACTTGTAAGCCTTTAAAACTTAGTTGTTCTTGAATGAATCTATGAACAGAAATGGGTGTGGTGGCAAAAATGGGATGATATGGTAATACCTGTATTCAACTTTTCCACTTTCTGAAGTCTATCTCTGTGTCTGTCTGTCTGTCCATCTGTCTAGGTGCTTATATGTCCTCCATCATCATGGCATCTAAGTGAATATGGCAATACAATTTTATGCAACATACAGTTCAATATCCCAAATGGGCCCTGATGGCTTAAGATTGGTGATAGGATGCAGACTATCTAGACTGCTGGTTCAAATCTAGGCTGGTTTAGAAATGACCAAAAGGTTTTAACTCCTAAAGCAGGACCAGGATCTGTGCATTTGTAGCCACAGTTTCTGGAATGGGCCTTAACACAGCTTGTTTTTGGCAATACTTGCAGTTAAGTTGTACTCAGCACCAATTCAGCTGCACCCATTGCAGATACCCATTGTCAGGTACTTATCCTAGCATTGTCAACGACAACTTGTAGCAGTGAGTTCCACAGGTTAAGTATGTGCTGTAATGCACA